AGAGAGAGAGAGAGAGAGAGAGAGAGAGAGAGAGAGAGAGAGAAAGGGAGAGAAAGAGAAAAGGGGAGTCTTACCTCCTGCTTCACAGTATTTGATGGCATCATAGTACATCTGCAGCAGCGCATCAAAATCCCCCTTGCCTCCACCACGGGGCTCAGTGAATACTGTTTTTACATTTTCCAGCTTATCCCACAGCCCGGTGTTGCTCCATCGATCTCTGAGCTTGTCCAGCATCTAATTGAATCACAAAGTATGAATGGAAATTCAGGTTTGTACTCTTTGAGAAAAAAAAAGAAAAGAAAAAGATCCAAGGATCAAACAATCACAGCGCTGAACCAAAAACATCACAATTAAAGGGTGGGATCATTCACTCAAAGAGAATATATGTGTTTCAATTAGTACTTTCAGTAAATTGTATGGGGGGAGGGGGGAGCAAGATTCTTGTGCACAGTATTAACACAAAGGTCAAAGCCCCTAACAGGGCCTTGCAAGGGCTGCCTACCGTTACCAAATTGGTGTATGGTTTTCATGAACAGGATTACAAGGAATTGTAAGGGAGCAGAAGGCATCTGCTTTGATGACTTCGGGGTCATTGCTTGGAAACAGAGCTGAGCCAGGAGAAGCCTTCAGCTTACTGGCCCATCTGTCTTCCACACCTTTACTGTTAGTATAGGATCTAATGACTGAAAGAGCGAGGTCGCAGGTACGAGTGGATAAAACGGATTTGATGCCAAAGACAGCTGGGCTCAGCCTTAGGGAAAGGGTGAGGATCGGCCTTCCAGAAAAAGCTTGGCGTACAGTGACTGCTCCTCTGCGCAAAAAGGAGTGAGTTTAGGTAGTTTTAGCGTCTGCTTAGGATACCTTCAAATCAACTCCTTTTAGAGATTTTCTGGGCAAGTCCACCCAGCAACCGGACATCCCTTCTGGCCTGAAAGCACCTTGGGATCCGGCTGGGAATAGGGATGTCTAGGTTTTCCACGCTGACATTTTGCCTCTGTGAACCAAACCTGGTATAATTGACTTTGGATGGATGGAAATTACACAACAGAATAGTAAATATATCTTTAAACCCACATACAGACTGGAATCCCTTCACTCAGGTAGGCTATTGTTTCTCATCCGTATGGCAACTTGTTACAACCTACATAAGTACAGCAATACTATGCTATGATACTACTGATGGTCCTCAAGGATCATTGGAAGCTCTTTCAAGTATTGTATCTGGACACTTGAAACTGCTCTACAAACACCTATCACGACTTATCTATGACACACAGTAGGACATAGTGACCCAAGTAAAATTTCATTATACATTTTTTTTCGATTATCCTTTTAATATATAAAAGGAGAAGTACCGGAGGTTCTTCATCCCAACTGCTGTCAGGATATATAACACCTGCACTGCCTGAGTCATGTTGTAGCCTCACCAGTCAATTGGTCACTGCATTATATTGTTAACTCCCCGTGTAAATACCTTTATTTATGCCTCCACTAGGCTTGTGTTTTTTCCGTTTCTGCCCTTGTGTATTCGTTGTAACATGCAAATTTCCCCACTGCGGGATCAATAAAGTCCTCTCATCTGATCTGCAATAATCTCTCACGCAATCTGGTAATACAATTCTCCCTTCTAACAATGGTCCATGTTGGTAAAAAGAAAGTAAAAAAAACAACATATGACTGCAAAAGATGATTTGACAATTTATGCAACGTGTTAAGCTTAAAGGTTTGCGTGCTGCAAAAAAATATTTGGCTCCTTTTTTTTCTTCTTCTGTATCTTCCAACAGCTTGGATTGCTTCTCTTTACTTGCACTTCACATAAAGCTGATGTGTTTAAACCTCCTCTGCAATAAAATCACTGTTGCTTGACTATTGTTAGTGCAAAAAGTCAGTCCCTCTCAGGGGAAGCACATTGATCTAAAAGCCCTCATCCTGCCATGGTCCCACTCATGTCTGTGCTGTGCAAATTATATCCTTGAATAAGCATGGTTTCACAATCAAAAAGAGGCTTCACTGACTTGGAAATGTGTTAGCGGGGTCAAATAGAAGTTCTTCTCGTAGTCAGCAGAAAACTTCTCAATAGACCAACAGTGAGAAGCTGTAAAGCTTGAGCCGGTATCAGATGGGGCCTCCGTACGGGATTACAGAGTGGAGTTTTCCAGCAACATCTTCTCCCCATTAGTCGATCTACTGCGATCACCTGGTGCTCGACAAAACAACACAATAGGCTAAACATAATTGTATTCTACAGGTTAAGTGCCGAACTAAGTAGGGAGGGAAAAGACACAGCATGAGAAGTGTTGATAGTTTCTAGCATGCCAGTGTTATTGCTTCACAGTGGTTAAATGAGGCAAAGGAAAGACTGCCAGTGAGGTCAGGATGTTTGCATCAATAAAACATGGCCTATTCACTATATATGCAGTGTTACTTCGACAAGGACCCCGCTTACGTGTGTCTTCAACTCAGCAAACTGTTTGCCCTGCAATTGCTTTCCAATGCAATCCTGAGCAAGAGATGAATAATTCATGTTATGTACTTTAGACAGCTCTACCACTAAACAAAACAGCCATTATCTGCCAGGCTGCACTTAGAAAGGAGCCGATTCCATAAGGAGATGAGTATAGAGGAAGAACGTTATCATCGCTAGAACTGTTACGACAGGGAAAGGAAAACGGAATGTAAAAGCATTTGAGACTCACAGAATGTACATTTCGGTGCCTGTCGTGATGTTGAATGGCAGACAACAGAGAAAGGACGGTTCTGCCAGGTAGGTGTGGCAATCACAGGGTATCACTTATGTAGTTCTGCTGCTTTTACCCCATTTTTCTCATCATCCGGGCAAGTTTCCTACATAAGCTTTGAATCAGAGTGGCAAACACAGAGGAGTGTGTTTTTGAGCCCCACGTCCTGACAGGCCCAACTGTCAATGCATTTACTACCATAATGCTGGGTATCCACCATGTGGATGCAAATCTAGAAAGACACCATCTACGATGGTCAAAAATGGGCTAATCCTTTGAATAAGGTAAAGGTAGAGAAGATGTAATCCATAGCCTTACCATTCGACCGTAAACAAAAGGCAGTCGCAAGAACTGTCGCCTTTAAAAAAATGACGGTTTGCTTCTTATTGAGTTGAATAGTTTGACAGAAAGACTGAAATTCTGACAGGATAACCTGTAATGTGTTCATTTGTAGAAGGTTTTTGGTACATGACTGCTCTAATACCAGTTCATTCAAGCCAAAGTTGAATTTAACAGAATTTTTTTTGACAGAAAATAAAAGATAATTGTAAAGCACCAACATTCTAAAGACATTTTACAACAGGAGTGTCATATGGTAAAGGGTAAGTGGACTGTATTAATATAGCACTTTTTCTAGCCAACCACTAAAAGCATTATGCACACAACAAGCCACATTCTTCCTTTTACACACACACTATCCCTCACACAGCACTTCTTAGTCAAAGCTCTGGTATGATGAGAAAATACCAAGAGGGGGATGAACAGACTCTTCTATAGGCTTTACAACAAAAGCACACAATTTACCTCATTACAGTGTAAGATGCGAAGGAATAAAGAGAAAAGTTTACAATCTGGAACAGATCATTTGCACCTTAACCATAGACTGTCAAACACAATAGGAAAAATGGAAGAAAAATGAAGGACAGTGAGCACATCTGGCAAAGGCCTGGTGTTAAGCTGGCAGAGCGGACGGTGAGATATCAATCCACAGGACTGTATGCACAAAACATTTGATATTTCAAAGAAATATCTCAAAGAAAGTCTAAAATAGTAGGCACCATACAAGACCCGTCAACATGCGCCTTACCGATTGTTAACATTTTCAATAAGAAAATGTTTGATTTTTGTTTATGCATGTATACATATACTTTTCGTTCCCGTTCTCCAAAGAGGTTCTTTGGAGTGCCGGTACACGTTTGAAACTAACTCCTTTTCAAAAGACAATGAAACTGCCATATAAAGGGAAAGACTTTGTTGCCTGCCACTTTGAGACCTTAGAGATTTTACAGCAGAATAGTTAAAAGCCCGTGCAACATGAGTGGAAATTAGCAGTATTTAGCACATAAGGGGGCACAAAATGGATGAATAATTCATTGTCCTTTCTAGGCATGGTAGGTGCACTGCTCTGCCAGCGAAGCAAAGTGGGCCAGGTCTCCACCAAATGGGACAGGGTAGTGAAAAGACAAGACAACGCAGTGACCTGTAGTCTTTCTTTCACTTTTACACTCCCCCTTCTTGTTTCCCCCTTTACTATCTCCCCATCTTTCACCTCCTCTGTATCCGGCTTCACTCTATCTCCTTCCCTCTGTCCCTGGTGTCAGTGAGCTGTGTGGCGACACATCGCAGCTTCTCTAGTGTCTGATGAATTATAGAGCGGGTCTTGGAGGCGATGGCATTAATGAAACATGCAGCCGAGAGCCACATTTCACGGTGGTGCTGGGGAGATGTGTTGTTGCGGTGTAAATTATTCAGCCCAAAAATATCACAGCAACCATCACGTCAAAACCGGTGGCAAGACGCCACCTGCCACCTCTGGTCTGCCACCCTTCCCTTGTCAACTGCTCTGCGAATTCCGGCCGCACTCGCGGCGACAAAGGAACACTTCGAAAACGCTGCCTGCTGCCCTGAGAAGGAGGCGGAAACTGGCAATGACTTTGTTTTACCAGTTGAAAAGCAGTCGGCGTAAACATCAGCCTTAGCTGGAGCGTTCTTTGACAGAAGCCGAACGCGAGTCAGAAAGACAGAAGCCATTTGATCAGTTCATTCAAATCTAACTGACTCGAACTGTTTCGTGGGCAGCTATAGTCTGTTGCTTCCACGTTTCCACATGGCTTCAGCGTTTAAAAGGTCTGATGTTAGTTCCATATGTGACATTTGCAGTAAGATGCTTCTGCTGAAAACCTTCAATACATTGTCAAAAAAAGTCTACAGGTGAAACAGATCATAATCTGGTTGATAAAAAAAAAGCTACCAGAGGTAGGAACATGAAAAGTGCTCAAATGAAAGGTTTGGACGGTGAACAGAGGGGGGAAATAAAGGTAACATGCGGGTAAGCTCGGTAACATAAAATCTGGATATCAAAAGAGGACAACGATGCTGGATAATTGCAAGATCGCTTTTGTACTTAAGAAAAAAAAAAATCCTTTACAACATCCAGCCAAGTTGAAAACATTCCAGGAAGTAAATAAATCATCAGCAATAAAGAAGCGACTTTAGGAGAGGAGAAACTGAGGGCTCATCCCATGGTATTAGGGAAACTTTTAAAAAATGAAAGGCAAGATAAGATTTTGTTCAAAAAGAAAAGGAAAAAAAGGAGCTCTCCTATAGACAGATGAAACTCAGATCAACGCATTCTAGAAAGACAGGAAGCAAAGAGCATGGGGCAGGCTTCGAGCAGCTCATGATCAAAGGAACTCATCATCTGTAAAATACATGGAGGCCATGGGTTGGCATGGGATTGCGTGGCTTCCAGTGACACTGGGTCACCGGTGTTTATTGAAGATGTGACAGATGCAGTCAGATAGACGGTGAAGTGTATAAGAGATACACCGTCTGCTCAGGTTCAGCCAGACGCAGTAAAGCTCACTGGACAAAGGGCTCCGGTGAAGATTCAGAGTGACCCAAAACAGGAGATGAAAGTTAAAGGGAATATTGTTAAATGGAAAAATCATTCACCTGGCCTGCACCCGTTTGAGCATGCAGAGCACATTCTGGGGACAGAAGGACAAAAAATATATATATATATTTGAAGATGCAACAAAGTAAAAGGAAAAGCTTTAAGAAAAGACATCCAGTCCACATCCACAAGTTCAATATATATTCTATGTTGTATTTACTTGTTTAAATTTCTGTCAAAGAGGTTTTAAATACTAAAAAGAGCCGTCTTTCTTACTTTTCCTACTGTTTACTCTGTATGTGATTTTTTCAAAGCCGAAGATGAGAGTTCATGGTCATTACTTCATGCCGGATTATTTTTAAAGCTAAAATACCTTTTTCCCCCCAATTTCTGAGAAAAAAAAACAATTTCTACTGATAGATTAGTTATGGAAATTGGCGAAATATATGGTGAAAGTCACACACGCTGATGTGGCATCTTTTCTGAGCAATATTTTCTTGCTGAATCTTCTAAATCTTTTAAGTGAGTCTGCGTCCTCATACAAATGCACATGTTAGATTCAAGCATTTCTTTCTAGAAACGATCGTCTGTCCATTTGACTATGGCGGTCACTGCAAGTGTGGGCGCGAAGAGGCTTGACCCTAACCCTGACCCCAATGGCCATTGGGCAAGTGGTGGGGTACACCCTGGACAGGTGGCCAGTCCCATCAAGGGCCACACAGAGGCCGGCAACCACACACACACACACGGGCAATCTAGAGCCAACATGGGCATTTTTGGACTGTGGGAGGAAGCAGGACTACCTGCAGAATGCATACAGAGGAAGAGCATGCAAACTTCACAAAGAAAGGGCCCCGGCCTCAGGGGATTCATACTGGGAACCGGCTCTTGGTGCTGCGAAGGCGCTTTCCACCACGCAACCGTGCAGCCCTTTCCTAAAACAGCGAGATACAAATTGTCATCCTTCATTACTCGGGCAACAATGAATATTCCAAGTGTGAGTAAGCAACGGATTTACAGCCGTGGGAGTGAAACTACGGTGTGTGTAAGTTTATAATAATAAAGAAACGCAGGCAATTGTGGAAAGTGGTTTAGTTTACATCCACGATCAATTTAAAAAAAATTTTATACATAATGTACACACCAACAGCAGCATTAACAGTAATGCAATTTGCCTCACGCATAAGAATAATTCAATTTGAACTCCTGCTCTTGGAAGCGGGAGTTTTTTCTGTAAGGATAACAAACGAACCACTTAAGGAACTAATAATCAGTAGATGAACTGTAGTATCCCTCGATGAAAGAAACAGCTCATTGGAGGAGGGGCTGTTCAAGGAGGACAGAAACTGATGACTCAGTCACCTTTTAACATGTGCTTTTAAGGTCTGAGAATGGGAGCCGTCCTAAAATCCCCAGCGCAGTCAAACAGCAGTTACCGTGAAGTTTCCACTGTTAAAACTCAAATAAAACATTAGCTCAGCTCTAACAATCGGCAGTGATATGCTACACTGGGCAAACTGACCCATGAATCTAATATGCTCCCAGACGGGGGAGAATCGGCCTCTCTGGGACGGCAGTGCTGCTGGAGCTGTGATTGGTGCTTCAGATACCCCTGAGCCGCCGAGGGCAGGGCGTGCTGGCGAGTGTTCGCCCCGCATTCCTGTTTGACTTTGATTTGACACGAGCTCAGCAGAGCCCAGGCGCCAGCGCCGGTGCGTCTTCACACAGACAGTGAGGCGACATCACCTAATGGCCCTTATCTCAATCTTCCTTAAAAGCATCTTATGTTCCCAGTCATCTTTTCACCTCTGCAAAACCCTGATTCAATTTTTTTTTTTTTTTTTAAATAAACCATCAGACTCCTTTAGCTGTGGGCGCTTTGGTCCTTCCCTTTGGCGGCTGGGACCAGACAGCATAGCAGGCTGCGGTTTTAATGGGCATTAACTGCGATACTGTTGAGACTGAAGCGCCACAAAAACACGGGTTGTGCAGCCTCTTTGGAAAATTGCGTGCGTGACCAGGTTTATGGGAATGCTTCGTGCGGCTTGTGTAATGCCCACTCCGGTTTTCGTTCCGTGAGCTGGTTGTCACAGGCGGTTGAAGAAACATCACCGCGGGAAATTCTCGAACCGGTCTTAAAAGAATGTCCTCGCTGGCGGAAAGCCACACTTCGATGATTAATTGAACTGTGTCTCTTCAAAGCCAGAAGAAAAGACTAAAAACTGACCCGCAGCTCAGCCGACGCTTTCTCTCCTGCTGAGTGCGAGTGGGAAAGTGAGGGCACAGCCCTAAGGGATGACTCTCTGACCCCGCAGACCTGTACACCTTACTGCCCTTTCTGTCTTTCATAGCTGATAGCCATCACCTCAGTGCACTGAATGAAGATGTCTTGAGATGACCTATCCTCTCTAGGCGCACACACAAACGCACACATTACAAGGCAGACGGGACTCAGTGGCACCAACAAAGCCTCCATGGGCTCCAATTAATACCCAGCCCTTCATATCCCCTCATCTCCTTATCTTTAAGAGCTGACTGCAGATTAAATATTTATGCATCAGCTAGAGAGAGCAAAGACTCCTACATGGCTATCAATAATAAAAAATAATAAAAAAAATCATCTCATGGCTCCTGGTTGCTGATCAGTTTGCAGCACGGCCTCTCAGAAAGGAAGGTAAAACGAGAAAACAACAAGGTCCAGAGTCTTAGCTTCCCCTCGGTTTACATGAGGGGTATCATCAGCTGTTTGAGAGTGCAACCGGATAGCACACAAACAAGAACTGCACAAGAACCATAACGGCAACGACTGGATGAGTGATGCTGAAAAATCCAGTCCAATGCAACAGAAAAAAAAAAATGAAGATCACCATAGGCAAGAGCAAAACTGCCAAGGGCAAAACACAGTTAAACCTAAAAATAAAAAAAAGTCTGGGAAACTCATCATCTCATTGATAACATTTTACATTTAGAGGCATTCAAATTTTGACCACAAAATAAACAGGAGTGATTTTGAGGTAAGAAAATAAATAATTAAATTTAACGTTTAGAGGAGGTAACCTGGGTGTAAATCCTGTCCACGGCGAACGGCGACAGAAGTGAGTTTTCATTTAAGGGTTTTAAAGAAAAATATATGAATTTACAAATAAAAAAATTAAAGATCCCAGTAATTTCAATTTTATATTTATTAATTATAGTACATTAAACATGTTAACTGACCATATACAAACAAACAGAATAAGATATGAAATCCACTTAGTGCTCTGTAAGCTAATGTGACAGCTGAGCCACAGCAGATATTTATTATTCATGAGGAAAAATGCATAACAAACAAAGGGGGACAAAGTGTCTATGAGCATGCTTTCAGAAGTGCCCTCATTAGCTGAAAGAGGATATACTTCAGTGAGGATGATGCCATTTAACAAGTTCCTGACAAGTACCGGTATTGATTAGTGGGGGTCTATTGTAACATGTGACACGGCAGCATCTTGCTGCTTTAAAGCTGTTCCTTACTTTGTATAGAACATCTTTTACACTCTACGAACACCTTCAAATGGTAAAACCATTTGAAATTCAACAAACTTGTGGTGTCTAGCTCCCCCAGGTGGTAAAATGTTTAAATAATCTTTAGGCTAAAACTGTCCTGGCAATTCCAGGGAAAAGCACTTTTGAATGTATAACAAGAAAGTACAACAACAGCAGCAAACAACTCACAGCATTCAAGATGCGTGTATCTATGTTCTGTAGGTTAAATCCAGTAAAAGATAGATCAAACTGGCAGTACTGCAGTATTGTAGAATCATACATTACTGTAGAGTGGATTTGACCTAATGCAACATCCATTTGTAACAAGGCTTATATTACCAATTTTAAAAACTTACCTTTTAGCTGAATCGTAACATTTTGTACCCACATTAGGTTTTAACAGACTCACAAGTGAGAATCTAAAAAATGAATACGAAGTTTTATTTAATATGTTTGTTTCATCCTGGTTTAAAGTGGTTTCGGAATATTTAAGTTATGTAGGACTGTCTACAGTGGCGATTGATTTTTTCTGTGGTGGACTTACCTTGTAGGAGGGCAAAAAGCAGAGCACACCCTTGGTGACCGCCTGGCAGACATGAAGCAGCAAAGCGCCCACCTCGTCCTGAAAGGCAAACGTTTCGGCGTGCTGAAACGTGGCGCAGAGCTTTTTGCCCTGGGGTCCTGCACCGACAGTCCCCACCCAAACCTGTTGAAAAATATTTTATTTTATATATAAATCACATTAAGCTTGATCACTAACATTTAAGTCAAAATTATTTTTATCTCAATCTTTTCAATTCATGCCATTGTGCTCAAATAAAATTTTCAAGAGCAATACTTGATTATAAATCTTAATCACCAATAAGAACTATTTTTAACCATCACATGGTAAAATGATGAAATCTGATGGATAAACCAAAGGTTAAAGTCACTAATCGCAGTAATCAAACGGTTACGTTGCTTTCTTTGAATCTGATTCACCAAACATTCTGTTGAAAACGACCGAAACAGCATCAAGGTTCTCTTTTACCTGCGACTTGTTTATCACATGGTTGGCCTCCAACTGGATGGTGAATTTCACCCCAAGCTCAGAGGAGAAGGAGCCCATAGGCGACAGGGTTCCAGACGTCAGAACAATACTGTGCACGGAGCCGCTCAGGTCAGAGAACGCCTGGGGGGAGTCCAAACGCAGACGTTAAGTAGACTATAAATGAACCAAAGTGTCTGAACTCTTTTTTTCAGCCTCAGTGTGTCATTGTGGTTTAAAAGCCATTTTATTCAGCGTGTCTCTGCGTTTCGGATCATCGTGTCGTGTGTATCTGGTTTGTAGAGATGAGCCTCTCACCACGGCCGGGTTGAGGCACCAGAAGCTCAGCGTGAGGACCTCTTTCTTGACGCGCATGCTCTGGCGGTGTCTAGCGCGTGGCACGATCAAAAAACCTCGGGCATCGTGGTTTTCGGGTGGAGCTTGATTGGTCCACGCGTAGTTCTTTTGCAGTGCGACTCGATAGTCTTCGGCAAACCTGCAGATATACAGAGCACACCCGGGTGACCCGAAATCCTGGGAAAAAGGTATGAATACGAAAACTTTTGTTTTTTCTCTGACCGTGAGCCATCTTTGTAGAGGAAGTTGAGCACCATGAAGAGGTTTTTGAGGACAGTGGAGGTCGTCGAACTGATGACTGGTACCTGGACCATCTCCTCTTTACCATTAACCATACCAGCGCGCTCTTCTTTTTCCAACACCGCAGCCAAGCTTTGCTGACAAACAAGAACAAAATGGTGTCGCTGATTAATAATTTATTCATATATAGTTCAGATTTTTTTTAAAGCATCAGGAAATATGTCAAACCTTTACAAAAAATAACTATATGCAGATATCTGTAAATTGGATCAAAACACTATCTTGGCTTTAAACATATAGGAGTATAGCAAAATTATAGAAAAATTATAGGAAAGCTGTGTAAAATACCTTCAGGATGTTGAATGTGTCAGCAGTGATGCCCAAACCATGAAATATGCTCAGTATGTCCTTCCCATTCCAGACTTTACTGGCACTCTCATATCCACGATCAGATAATAAGATCTGGCTCTCCTGGATCCAACTAAGGTGAATACAAAGACAGGGAGTTAAAGTCTTCTTCTTCACTGTGAGACGCGCTCAGTCGCCAAATAACTGACTTGATCAGAGTGTAGCAGAAGTCCCTGAGTGGCTCGTGTTTAGAGCGTCTGATGTTGTTTTTGACCATGCCGTCCAGCTCGTCTATGGCCATCTGCAGACCGCTGTGCTGCAACGTGCAGCTGGCACTTTCCCTGGCACAGTCCTCAATGTTGTGGGCCTCGTCCAGCACCAGGATCTGCCCGGCCAGATCGATCTCCATCTAGTTGAAATTAAGATTGAAAACAAAGGATAAATGAGTGTTTTGCTGTTTTCTTCAGGTTGCCCTACAAGTCCTTCATGCTAACTTTTAAACTCTACTCACACTTTCTCTGATCATGGGATCCAGCAGGTAGTTATATGGGCAAAAGATGACACTGGCCCCCTGTTTGAGTTCACGGGCGGCGTAGTAAGAGCAGGAACGAAGCCGCTTGCCCAGAGTGACCAGGTCCTCGATGTCCCAGGCCTTGTGCAGTCCGTGGACATGTTGCAACGTGTACTGGTCCCTCATTTTCTGGACACCATGGTAATACCGGCATGTCTTTCCCTATAATGTACATTTTCAAAAAGATTCAGGAGAAAAAAAAACTTGACTTAGATTACTGTGTACTACGTTCCCACCCTCATCTATGGCCACGAACTTTGTGTAGCGACCAAAAGAACAAGGTTGAGGATACAAGCGGCCGAAATGAGTTTCCTCCGCAGGGTGGCTGGGCTCTAAAATTATTAATGAAATAATAATACTAATTGATGGTGTAGCAATATAGTTTTTCTTTTGGACAATTAAAGTATGATTTAAATGTATTTAACTGAAATAATCGTTTTATGTCTAAAAAAATTAAGAATAAAACTATAGCTTCCTCAGTTTTTTTAAGTCATTCCGGTGTGAAAACTACAGTGCAAAAAACATAAACGTGTATATAGTCTTAAAAGCATTCAATGATGAAACTATGACAAACTGGGAGAAAATTTTAGGTTATTGGATTATGCTGCTGGCATTCAATTTAAAGATGTGAATGACTGCTGCTTTTACACTAATGTCAAAATACTTTTACATTACACTTTACATTACACTAACCCTAACCCTAAGTACTGGAGGAGCACCCCCCCCCCACGGTGTCTCTAATTCATTTCCCGACGAGTGATGAGTGACGAAACATTTAGAGTCTGTCGGCTTCTCTTTTGTTCCTCGATGCCAATCCACATACTTTGAACTGTGCAACAAAAGAATGTCAGATTTCTGAGACAACTTTTCCCAATTCTTCTCTCGGCCGTTGGTGACAGTGTTTCAGAAGCAGTGTGTGTGCTCTGATGTCTCGGCTAATGTTGCGGCTTTCATGTCCTAACACTGATACATTGGAAATAGGTGATGTGTCAAGAGGGAGCGTCTCATGTACCGAAGCACAATTACTGTCAGCAGAGGAGCCTCTTTAGATGTCCCACCCTGTTCTTTATGAATTTAACAGCTTTAGGTGACACTATCACACAAATGGTGTACAACGGGGGGGGGGACTGGGTTACAGACACAATAATACTGCGGCTGTCCTTCTCTACATGATGCACTAAGCTTGGACACACTGAACCCAGTGTGCTGAATAAAAGAGGAGTTGGGGATTAACCGCCTTTTGCCGCTATCATAACAGCTGTTGGCAAAGTGAAATCCGAGGGAGGGCGCTGCGACTGAAGACGGCGTTAGGTGAACAATGTTTTTCAGGGGAATCACTGTGTGTCTTTGCAGCACTGTTACCTGACACCAAGTGCCCCGAGACCCTGAGGTTAGAAGGGGACAGAATGTCTCCAGTAAGGGGTCATTTCTGGGTCAGGCGTTACGGGACAAAGCGAGACAGTTGTCGTAGGAGGCAAACACCTCCAATGACAGCATAATTGTGGTCATTACAGTAGGCGCCTCGACGTTAGGACAGTATAGGAGGTTACAAGTGTCTCATGTCTCGAAAAAAAACTTGCTCAATGGTTCTTGGCATTCTAGGGTGTCAAAGAGTCATGTGAGCCATTTGTGCGTAATTGCTTCTCTGCGGCTATGACATTGACCGTTTAATCCATTCTGCTTTACAAGTGCACTGGGAAGAGCATCAGATTCCCAAAGAAAAATCATCAAGACGTTTGAGTCTTTTTCATGTTGGGAACTGACAGCAAGTGTGCAGTGACAATTGTGTTTGGTGGGGGGACTGAACGGTGTCTTTCAATTTTAGGGTGCATGTCGCTGACTGAACTGTGATGTGTGTGTGTTTCTTGTACTCACATCTTTGGCTTCCAGCAGATGCTTGCACTGTTCATTGCGGTTGGAGCTGGACGCCACTTCCGGATTGACACAGGTGTGGTCTCTGCTGGACAGGATGGTCATTTGCGTGCGGGAGTACTCGGTGCGCCTCAGCTCGTGCACGATCTGGGTTATTTGCTTGTGTGTGCGCGTGCCGAAGTAAATTTTGGGAATCTTCTTCTTGCCGTCCTTGTCCTTTGCTGCGTTTTTGGCGGAAGCGCATGGGCAGCGTGAGCAGGGCTCCGGGGCCTGGAGGGGCAAAAGACAGGTGGACAAATGCTTAGAGACGAACAGCTTGAGTTCGGCATCATTCACCAGTTCACCAGCTACATCAAATAAGTTGTTTTGTTTTGTTTTTCTGGCTTTTTCACATTGCCAGGATCTGTGTGTGTGTTTCAAGAGCACAAATCATGTACACCTCACCTGTATCGCAACCTGCAGCAAAGAATGTACAAAAAACAGGTCAATTTGATTATTTTACAAGTGTAAAAGCCATGTTGAAGAATATATATATATTTTTTTCAGATTTGTGGGGCTGTTGGGAGACATGGAGTCGCTCAGAACTAAGAATATTCCAAAACACTTACTGAACGCTGTATTAAGGACAACAGACCCAGGCTGTAAGCCAAAAGATCAAACATAGTTTGAGATGATGGTTTGAACCCGATGCACCATTCCCAAAGGCCTTTTGTGTTTGTTCCAGTCGGTCTGGGGGGGTACCATCTAAAATGATCCTGCTACAAAAAAGCTGGCTAGCTGTTCATCTGTTTAAATAAATGCTACAAAATTACGTGTATATATACAGTAATTAGATGAAAATATATATTTCTGATCTATCGATGCGTACAGGCAAGACAGCTAGATGCAATTTTAAAAAATCTAAAAAAAGAGTAAATCATAGGCTTGCTGACATGTCTTTATGCTCTTCTGAAATACATTAAGAAGAATAAAGAATTTGTATCCGTACATAAGGTGTCACACTGCGCCAGGTGATTGTTGCTGGTTCTGAGGTAACATTTGCATAGGTTGAGAAAATCTAGCTGCTTCATAATTCGCCGTCTTGTGACATGAATTCTTTGTTTTATTTGCTACAGACGCTATTTGTGATTAATCTATTGAAAAAAATCCGAAGACAGGTGACCAAAAAACTATTTTTTGCCTCGAGTAACAAAATTGTGTCTCAAAATTGAAGTGATGTTATCCTATATACATATACATTTAAGTATGTGGACAATATTAATTTGGGCAAATTGTCAGTTTAAAATACAAAGCTTCATGCAAAAGGAAAATGAAAATAGAGAACCTCTATTATCTTTGGGTACACTTAGAGCATAGACAAACTCTTTTTTTTATTTATGTGCTAAGTCAACTGTTGTGCTGATGCTATCATATATCATAATAACATAATAAAATGTAATAGTGTTTTCAAATGGTACTTCAACAGCAGGATGGACATGGTAAAAATGTAATTTACATCACTGATCACATGAATACTTTTCACTAGATACTTCAACCTGACCTGAAATATAAATGAAAATATAGCTAAAATGTTTTCCTTTTCTTTTCTTTTTTTGCTGCTAAAATAAGACCCTTGTGTCTTCTTGGCATGGTTTTATGAATCTACATAGCCTGTGGCAACACCTTTGGATGTTCACCGCACCATCTGGCTTCTCCACTTAAACATGGCTGACGGAAACTTTCCTAATTCCTAAGTGTTTCATATTCATAAACAGTATACTGTAGAAAGAGATTCCAGTGTGTATCCTTTTTCATTTAATAGTGTCTTACTGAAGTACTGCATCTAACTTTTGAGTTTATATTGATAATATGGGGAGTTTTTATTTGATTTTGACGGTAAGAAAAAAAAATAATAAGTCCAGCAAACAAGTTCATACCTAACTCCTTTGTTAATTACCTGAATATTTCAACACAAGAGGGAATAGCACGTGATGTCATGCTGTGCAACTAATCAGGAGGATCAGGAGGTAGCACTTCTGATGACAGACAAATGGCTCACGTTACCCAGCGGCTCAGATTTTCCAAGCATGTTTGCCCATCAAATATTACAATGTGTGGTGAAGTGTAGGCCAGAGAGAGCTCTTAGAGAGCCGCCTCTCAGAGTTAAGAGGGATAACGAGCCCTGAGCCCATGTGAAAAATAAACAGAGGTTCTGCAGGGCCCCAACACCAGTTCAAGTTACCTTTCTCCTTTGGAACAGTTACGCTCCGCAGCCTGGGCCTCGGGCCCGATCACCTTACCTGCTGCTGCCACATTAAATAGAGCCATCCAAATATCCTGCCCCAAGACGGCCAATAATTACTTATTCATTGGCAGGTGGGGGGACGAGAAAGAGGTTGGGGGAGTGTGGAAGGGCATGCTGATGAATAGAGGCCCTTGTCAAAAGCTGCAGCAGGAAACAGCTGACACAAGAGTATCCTTTTACGCGGCTGCCTCGCGAGATGCCAAGACAACAAGGTTTTCGAGCCTGGCCCCACAGCCCAGAGCAGACACCCCTTTGAAAAGAATGCAGATAACTAGCAAAAAGGGGGCGAGCAGGATGCCAGCTCTGCTCGCCACAAGAATATACCGGCCCTTTTAGAGCGGAACCGGTCCAGTGCCGAGGCTCCTCGGGTGTGATGAGTGCCCTCATTTCAAAAGTCCATTCCCGTGTTACGTGGAGGAATGTTTAGCCATTGGCGGAGGTATACTTTGTGCTACATTACATATTCGGACTTCCTGATATATTGCATCAGCTACAGATTTCGTTACGGTTTTGTGGCATGTCTAAGGTGGCGTGTGGAATAGCTCGGTATGCCGGAGCTGCGGCTTACCTGAATTGACAGAACAGAGGTCAGTGGTGTTACTGAACACCTCCGAATATTCACAGGTAGGCTTCTGTTGCCCCAGCCAACACCTGAGAGATGGAAATCTCACACTCCGCGGGGCCAGTGAGAGGGCACTAAGGGGCCGCCGGCATCGCTTGGGTATCCCTGGCGCCTCTCACTGGACACCAATTTGCTCCTCATTCCACAGCTTTCGAAGGGCTTGGAATTCATTCCAATAAGGGTGGGCTTCAATAGCCAATACCTTGGAAGACGTGACACCCAACACCCCCTCCTCCTGATATGACCACACTGTGCACGTAGGGGCCCTGGCAAATATCTGCCCCTCCGAGGCACCTGTTTATCCCTCGGGCGCAGTAACCAGCGGGTGAACCCCATTCAATATTTATCCTTGTGGCTTTCACAGATCAGCGGCCCAAGCGAGGCAAACCCCCTTAATTAAAACTGGAGCTTGCTTCAAAGGGCCCCATTCAGGCCATCAGTCAGCGCTTGCAGGACAAAAGAGCCCAGGTCATGTAGCTAAAGTGAAACCAAATATGAGCGCGCTTTTTGGACTTCACTTTCCCTCCTCCTCTTTTTCCACCTCCGACCATCCAGAGCTTTCAATCTAAGGAACACACCTGCAGAGGTTAAAATGCAGTTGCGGGACTTAGGGACTCTGGGAGCTGTGGAACAGCTACTGTAGGCCCACGCTTGACTGATTAGGGGTAATCTGTTGGCCACATTTAAAAATAAAACACTCCTTATTCAACCTAATTATGATACTTTTCCGAACAGAAATGATATGTTTGATTATGAAAATATGAGAAGAGATTAAAATACAAACACTGCAAATTGAGCAGGGAAAAAGTAATTAAGCCAAGTTTTTCTTGAAGTCAAACAAGGAGAAAACTAAAGTTGGGAAATGGGTTACAAACTGAAAGTGGAAATGATGAACCTTGTTTGAACTGACGCATACTTAAGAGTGATAAATTACCTGCTGATTTAATAAACTTCATTAACTTGCTTTCTTTTCACTCGGGTCTGTGTTACTAACAGAAAGCGACCATTTCCAGTATCGCAATTTTTCAATATTCAACAAACAATTTTAATTTATTCAAAACTTTTTGGAGTAATAGAAGGGAACAGAAACCTCACTTAAATATCCGTTTTAACTGTATTCTATTATCTGTTAAAAATGTTATCATAAATAGCGCTCCTTTATCAATAATATTCATTCTATTATAATGAAGTCAGGCTCCTTAAAAGATTCCAGCAGATAATGTCTTTGATGCTGACTGGTATTAGTTTTAGTTCAATTTAATTTCTAAACTGTAGATGTACATGTAGTTCCTTTAAGACTAATCAAAATATATCAGACACATTAAAAAAAAATCTAAATGTAATATTTCATTTCCAATTACAAGCTGCTGCAAACTTATTTGTCAATGTGTGGAGTATATCGCCACCCAGTGGTGTTACTAAATTGTAATTCTTGGCCAAAAGAGAAAGTGAGACCACATAAATTAGCTCATAAATTAAAAAAGAAAGAAGCTATCAATTCCAGTGAGCTCTACTGATCCATAATGATGTTACTCAGTCTGAGAGTCTGAAGGATATTTGTCAATCTGACGGAGTGCAACGGAGCTCTGAAGCACAATGATTAACTGTAATAAATCTTTTATTTCAGTGTCTGGATCAAGTGAACATGCACACTAGAACTGTCTCTCCACTAACATGTTGATAAGTTTACTGGAATAGGTTGTTGACTGACATAACATGAAAATGTCCAGGTTTTAAGGTCAGCCAGAGAAAGCTTAACTCTCTCCACATGCTTGTAAAACATATATTTCATATCAGGGAATAAAGAGGAAATATTTTCATTTTCAACATCTATCTCACTGAAACTGCTCTATGTCTCTGTATCTGTGCCAGTATCAAGGGAATCGTTATATCAAGAGAAAAGAATATGAAGCAATATTAATATTCTCTTCATTTACAGCTGCATTCACTTTCTGGTGTATTCGCTGATACATGAGCTGATCATTATAGTATCTGCCAGTCATTGCATGTTGGATTCACACACAGCCTGTCTGACCTGTAAAAGCGATGGAAAGTAAAGTTTCTATTCATGTGTGAATACCGCTAAAGAAACCTGATCAATGACATCAAAACGATGTACTAATATGGCAAGGAAAGTCTACGAAATACCTGTTTGCTAGAAGTGTTTTTGCACTTTTTATCTTAAAAGTGTTTCAGAAGGGTTTGGAACACTTTTAATGCAGAATTCCATACTAATATTTGCAAATAATGATAATGCTCTAGCAAGTTTTTATGCTCAAGAAGGAAAACATTACGTAAACCCCCTGGATACATTAAAAAAGGAGCAAAAAAATTAATGCATGCTAAAAAAAAAAAAAGAGTATGCTAAATGTACAGTGTTAAACTGGTCAACACACAATGATAAAAAAAAAACAAAAGGGTTGGATCAGGACAACGGACATGCAAAGCAAGAGGCTAATGTTTGAAATTAGATAAACAGACAATATCGCCCCCTTGTGTCAGCAGAACCACAATAGTCAGTAAGACAGTAAGAGGGAACTTACACTGCATGATGAAAAACCAGCAGCTGGGCTGCTTGGAGCTGGGGTCCAACTCTGAGGACCTGAAGGCTGAGGTTCCACATCTGGCTCATCATCCAAGAATATGACGCCTTGCTGTGGATGCTGTCTTTTATGGTTCTTGAGAATAAAACAAAAAGTAACTTCACATACATACAAAGATACATATAGATTTTTACTTCTTGGGGAAAAAAAACATCGTTTTATGTACACACACACACACACACACACACACACATATATATACACTTTTCAGTGTTTCATTGTGTAGAATGCTTGTACATCAATGGTCAGTAGCTACCTTTTGCTCTGCCGTGCGAATGCGTTTCCTGTCAGGCTGAAAGTCATCATCATTCTCACAGTCAGAGCTATGAGAAGCTTTGAACTTCTCAGACAGACGAGAAGAAAAAGACTGTTTCTTTGGATGAGACTCCTCTTGAACTGACCCCGAAACAAGCATGGAACAGATGAAAACCAACATGTTGTTTAGACTATGACTAGGACATGTATTTTGCCAAAAGCTAAGACAAAACCATAGAGAATTAAATTAATATAGCTTGTTCAGAAGGTTTCCAAGAGAAAAGCTCTCTCCCCTAATACATAACCTGGACAGCACAGCTTCGGTTTTAAAACCACAACATATCTGGAAAGTTGTACTGGATATTGCACAGAATCACATTCGTTCAAACAAAAACCCTTCGTATTAGCTGTCTAACTAGACAATGGAGTAAGGATTACTTTAGCTGTTCTTCCAGTCACAGAACACAAACACCTCCCAGTCATGAAGGTGACCATCCACTTCTGGGTTTCCAAAGAACTACATAAAAGCTACAACACAGGTTACTGTATCGTGGTGTGTGCATAATTTTCCATAATTTTTCTTTTAGTTTTTAGCTAAATATAGTTACAAAGAATAATAATAATAATACTGACAATCCTAATAATCAAACATGGGTTAAACGGAGATAGATCTGAAAAACACACTTGAATCACTGGACAACTAAGAACCATTTATGTTTGATACTGTAGTGCCTGGATCCATGAATATATTTAAACTTATAAATGGGCTCAGAGATGTGATCTGTCCACATCCCCTGGCACACTATCACTGTGAGTGTTGTGCTGGAGGCGTGTCTGCCTATGAGCCGTCAGCACATCTCTTTATCCTAACAGTACGGTACATCTCATCTGGGCAGCAGTCATCAGCAGGTCATCGTTTGTGGCAGAGGGCCTTTCACCTAATGGCAGCTGGCAGAGTCGACAGCCCAGCATAAACCTCAAACAACCCCTGGATCATTTTTTCTTGTATCTGTCATCGACTCTTTCTTGTTTGGCAGCAGCTGTGTTGCTCTTCAGCCTGCTAGAAAATCCACTATTGTGACTGGTCACTGCAGTAGGAAATCTTGAGTTGACACTCCCACTTTAAAACTACTTTTATGGTGCCACTTCACAAGATAAACTGATGATACACTGGATTATACTGAATGCAATCCGAGGGATTCTTTCATTGTGTCCTGACTGGAGCTGTGAAATTTACGAAAAAACTGATCCTCATTGCAATATAAAAGACTTGAAACATAAAAAAGGGAGTTTAATTACATATACTGTATGTATATGCATGTTAATTTTGATTTATGTCCCTGTTTGCACCCCATAGTGAAGCCTTGTCCTCACTCATAAAATGTTGAATTGTAAGAGCCCTTTTGTGCTGTCTTACAGAACACAGAGAGAAAATAATAATTTGATTCGAATAATTTCGACTGTTATTCTTAATTTACCATTCCTTTGAGTTGAAACTTCAACAAGAACCCCTTGGCGTCTCCTAAACCAACTGAAAGCTACTTCGTCATTAACAAAGTAGTGGACTGAAGTTTTATTTCTAGGGATTAGGACCATATTAACTTTTCTTTCAATGAAGAAGTCAGAGAGATTTAGAAAAGAAAACAAAATTGCGTTTCAAACGTTAGCACAAGTAAAATAAAGACAACTCACAATGTTTTGGTGTTGACAGCAATGGCTGGGCTGTTTCTTTGCAGGGGGACCCTGTGAGGTCAACAACCGTCGGCTGTGCTGTATGCGAGTCTGCCGCTATGGTCGTTTTAGCGTGGCACGCACAGAGGCATGAGGTGGGGGCCTGTAACGTCTTACCATCTTCTGAACTTTTATCTGACTGGCACTTCTCTTCTGATGAAGCTCCTCCTTCGTGCAGTTTAGCTAAAGTAAACAACAAAATACATGCTATCACATGGCAACAGTGATGTAAATCAGAATATCTTTTCAAACTAAAACAGTGAGGAAGGAAAAACCTTAATAATGAGGATTTGATTTTAAAAGATGTTCATTAATTTTAAGGATTAAGAAACAAACTAATTTATTTCAATGGGTGAAAATAGTGGGAGGGGGAGTGAAAATGGTGTGCTCTGTAAATCAGTTCAGCTGTCATCCCATTTGTTAAGACTGCGATTTCTATTAAACCTGTTTGCTTACAGTAAACACGTGCAGACTTACCAAGCTGAGCCTTCTGCCAGCCCAGAGTAGAGCAAAGCAAAGCCAAACTTTTCCCACTGCCTGTGGGACTCTCCAGCAAGCAGTGCTGTCCAGAGTTCAACCCTCGAACAATCTGCAAATACAAATACACATAACCACATTTATTCATCCATCCATCTTCTTAGAGGGAGGCAGGTGGGCTGCAGTCTATCCCAGTAGACATTAGGATAGTGGCAAGCTACACCCTGGACAGGTCGCCAGTTACTCACAGGGCCACACAGAAACAAACAACCACGTACACACACTTAACCACATTTATGCTTAAATTAAACCAAGCACAAACTAACAATATCCTGTCAGGCATATATTATGTATACCAATAACTGTTATGGAAATTACCATCCATCCAGTATAACAATGTATATAGCAATAATATTTATGTATATGACTTCCTGTTTCTGTTATTCTGCATTTAGTTTCTCTTTATAAGGCATTAACACTTGCTTACTATGGATCAGAGAGTTGTTCCCTTTTATTCAGAATTATTCTTTGTGTTATCAGAGTGCGTTCTAATAACTGAATTTGCAAAGTAATGACATTACTCACTGAATTCATCATTGCTAGCTGGGATGGATAAGCTTTGCAGGGGAACTGGATCTTCACACCCCCGATGGTGTACTCTACTAAGGTTTTCCCCATGTTTTACTAACTCTTCAGAGGAAACCACTTAGTAAAAGAAAAAAGTTCTGAAAAAAATGAGTAAAATCACACGTTTAAAGGACAACAATCACATATCATGTGGAAACACGTATAGTATAATGTGTGTAATGCCACTGTTTGAAACATGTGTCGACATGTTAACAGGTTCAAGCTACCGTGTAGGAATTTAGCACGAAATTAGCAAACGTTATTTAAACGTTATTTTTCTTCGCGTAAGTATGTCACTCACCTGGGCAAAATGTACTGTAAATAAGCTAGAACCTATTTCCAAACAAGGGCTGACACTACCAGTTGACTATATAAGACATGCACTCGGTCAGCATGGTTTTAAAATGTACAAACTCAGAAGTGAGGGAACCGGGGGACACAAACTGCTTCTCTCACTTCGCTGTTCCTATCATTCTTCCCGCTCTCCTAGAATGCTCTAAAACAGGAAATAAGCCATGGTCTTAGTCTTTCCTGTACTTAACTTCAGAATAAAATCTTCAATGCAGAATACCGAGGAATTATTTGAAGTAACACGGTTTTTTTCTTTTATTTTGTGCGTACATCGATTGTATCCATATTTTAAAGTACATATTAAGATAAATGAAAAAAAACGAAATACTCTACCTACATTTTGAAGGCTTCACTGATGTCAGTTCCGACTCACATACCGGAAGTGACGTTAGTGAACGCAACCGTTCATGTTCTGCGACACCAGCGGTCAAGAGGTAACAATCATGATTGGCCACCCTATAAACACTACATTTTCATTGTATTCTTATATTCTTCGTTTTTAAGACAAAACAGCCGTGGCAATACACCAATGTAGGTTTCGTCCAGTCAAGATAAAAAACTAAAATGGCCAATACTCAAAAGTAACAAGCAAAACAACGGTTACTTAATTTTAGAGACCATTTTATTTAAATAGGATAATTTCCATATAAGTGTATTCACATTTACACTGTACACATGCAGGTCAGCTGTTCCTACGGATATTGGAATAAGAGCTGTGAGTAGTCAAAGTAAATGTCACCAAGAATTGTGTGAACTCTCAAAAATAGTGTATAAAAATCTGCATCGTGATTATTTCAAACAAGTAACAGATGCTGTACTTGCAAATGGTTTGTATAAGATGAATATTTGGACAACTGTGTCATTTGCTTTTTGAATGTTCCATGACTTCACCGGCCTGGACACCAAACAGATATGAGAGCTTATGAGACATCTGCTCTCACATAATCATTTAATACAAATTTATGCATTTGTCTTCATCTCAGTATTTATGGTTACAAGTTATAGAGAGAAAGTGCACTTAACTTTGCAGAGAGAAAAGAAATCATCACATTTAACAGAAACCTTTTTTTTTCTTGTATAATAATCATTACTCTGCTGAGGTGAAAATATAGTGTTTAGATTCATACACATACAACACTAGCAGAAGGACAAGAAAATGCTTCACATCATTTCTACAAGGACTTATATGGAAAAATGAACTCTCTCGAAACATATCGCAGACCCAAAATTACATAATCCATTCCAGTTTTAACATTTAACAAAAATCCTGTATCCAAGTCATGATAATAGTGCAAAAAGGTTCTCTCAAAAAGTCTATGGGGGGTTTATCTACTCACAAAAGACACTTTCTCATTCACCTATACAAATACTAATGGAGACACAGCTAGAGGAACCACATCTTGAATGATAAAGGACAGAAAGTCAGGAGTTCATGTCTTCTCTAAATTAAAAAGACATCGGTGGACTGGTGAGAAACACCTCCCTCTCAACAGAGACCAAAATATATACGATGGAACGTGGCATAACTGGCACATAAAGTGCCTCTATCATGAAAGTCTGGAATTACTAAATAATCAGAAAAAATTAGCTGTAAACAGTTTGTAAGTCAGTCCCTTTGTACTGAAGGAGGTCTGACTTAGACCCATCTGGATGAATCTATAATTTAAGAGACACACACCAAAGTCTGGGAAAGTAGGTAGCTTTTGAAAGGCATTCTTGGAGACTCGAGCAATCTTGAAATATAAGTGGGTAGGGTAGGCTCCTGAGAGCAAAGACACCAAACTGTTAACTTCATCACAAACAAAAGCATTGAATTAGAAGTGATAGTGGATTTTTTCCAAAGATGCACTGTGTAACTAAGACCTAAAAACACCTTTTGCTGTTAGACGCTTTATATGAGATAAACTGCCTGATGAAAAGTGTGAACTTCCAAAAGAAAAATGTCACTGACATGCATTACATATAATTTTATATCCATATATACAATGGACTAACATAATCATTTGTGACTATAGCAGCACCGTCAGTTTATATTCAAGACAAATTTCCAGTGATTAAATAAAATTAAAATAGATAATTAGGTTATGTTAACAGCTGTGGTGGAGTTCCTCTGGAAAGGGAAACAGATGTTTCATATCATACAATAACAGAAGGTATAAAAAATATATTTGTTTTACATAAACAGTTTGAATTAATTAAATACTCAGCTATAAAACGCTTAATATGTATACCAGTAACATTAGTCATACTTAAAACTCACAGCTATTACCAGAGACATAGGGGGAAATAAGACACATTTAAAGTTCCAGTGTGTAGGATTTACAAACATCCATTGCCAGAACCACAATATGATATTCATCAATAAGATTTCATTAGAATAAAAAACAAAGTTTAAAAAAGATGGTGTGCAGCTTAATGTGGAGGCAAGCCCATTATCAAATCTCTCCACTAGATGTCATAATATCCCACACACTGTTCCTTTTTTTTCAGCATTTCATCAAAGAATTTGAGAAAAAGATGACACACAGACACACACATACAATTCATCCAAAACTAAACAAATTTTTTTTTCCCCAAAGGACAGTTTAAGTAACAAATGGAGGCTCAATTCAACCCTAAAAGTAAGGCTGAGCTGTAACAACGTGCAGTACGTCTGCACGCATAGGGACGAGAGGCCGACAGTGGGAACGTAATTTTAGCACACACACAGTGTGGTCTTGTTATGCTGCTGGAGGATGGGAGAGACATTATTAGAGTCCTGTTTTTTCTCTGCGTTGTGTTGAGCCAGCGGTGGTCTGTCGGAAGTACTGTGCCGGGCTTTCTTTGACAGCAGGCTTGATGGCGGCGATCCATTTAAAGTTCTTTTGCCGTTTGGTGTCCTGCTGCTTACTGTCCTATCGGAAGGGCACGATTGGCTTGGCAGCTCCGTACTGCTGTCTGGACCCAGTGACGTTAGAGCAAAGGGGTCAGATAAATTCAAATGGTACAAGCTGCTGCTTCCAGACAGTCCGTCCCGTCGCTCGAGCGCAGGCAAGAAGTCACAAATGGAAGAGTTAGAGTCTTCATCCTGAGTACGCTGAAGGAGAAAACATTGATGGATTACTCATGAAGACAAGTTTAACTCTTTATTCTCTGCAGTATTCATGAAATATTTAATCAAACTGAAAGCAGACAAACATGCTTCCAGGCAGTGATATCCAGTAGGGATGTCCCGATCCAGCTTTTTGCACTTCCGATACAGGCCGATCAGAGCTTGTATTAAAGTTTAAAGTTATTTAGCCTACTAACTTAGGTGTCAGACTCATATTGAACAGGTATTTACTCTTATAACAACTTAATGGTTGGGACACAGACCTGTGGGTTAGGAGATGCTAATGCTCGTGTGGGTTTGGACTTAAAGAAAACTGGATCGGGAGTCTGGATCGGCATTTTCTCATGCGGCCAATACGCATTTTTTTGCAAAAAACTGCGGCCAACATGATCCAAATATCGGATCGGGACAAGCCTAATATCCAGTGCTCCTATAATTGTAAAACATTTCATTGGGATGATGCTCCAAAACACTTACATTTCCATCCACTCGTCAGTTATCCCCCAGTTATCCAAGACACTCTATGGTAAGTGATAATTTCAATTATAATAATATGTTGATTATTGCCCTCTGATGTCCAGGTACCCTGCCTCTTGCCCAATGACAGCTAGTCCAAGCCCCCCCCTTACTTGTAAGGGGTGGTACTGACAACCGATGGATGTTTAGCATTTAAACAACAATAAAAGGCATAATTCAAATATGCTGACACATTAATAAGGCGACAGGGGAAAAGCCTGAGACTGAGAATAAATTATCTGTATACAACGAGGGACCAATAAAGTAGCCTTAAATGTGAATGCCGCCCTTTGCTCACCTGTAGCAGCGGCGTGTCTGCACGGGATATTGAGGTGGGGGGGCACTGGGATACCTTGGCCAGGTCGAGCAGCACCTCATCGCTGTGCAACGTTTCTTGGGAGTTGCCAGGCTCCTGCAGGGCGATCACGATGGCGCTGGTGTTGTCAGCGCGCAGCATCCGCTGCCGCCACCGCAGCAGAGCATGGCTGACCAGCTGCCTGGCACTCGATACCCTACACGATGGCTGAAACCATGAAAGCGTGTGGTGAGACTGAACCATTCGTTTACATGGTGTTATGAGGTTGAGTCTAAATATTACAATGGTCTGAACTGGTTGTTCGGGGGAGGGGCTTACCATTTCCTCGTCACTGTTCTGACACATGGAGATGGCCTCTTGAGGCGGCACCATATTCCACAGACCATCGCTGCCCAGGATAATGTAGCGATGTTTTCTGGGGTCAAGGACCACCACACTGGTGTCTGGCTCCGGAGAGACCACAAACTCCCCACTGTAGAAGTCATAGCTCCACAGATCACCTGTTACAAGGATTAATCGATTACTGACCACAAAACCTTTTTTTTCGCCATCTAATTAATGGGAAATAATCTTAATAACCCTTTATACACAATATAAGAACAATATTTGTAGAGGTAAAACAAAAAGAGGAAAGAGCACAGGGTTTGAGATGGTGCCATTTATAATAAAGTCAGAATTGTTTAAATGCAATACAGTTGTGAGTATCAGTCCCATGAAGGCAAATGGGCATAAATCTGTAAGCCTCTCAGCCAAAGACAAGAATTTACTAAATTAAATAAAAATGCATGGGATTTTACTGTGGGAACCCTTGTTTTTAGACTTTAACTTGTCATTTGCAGGATTAATCTTGGAAACTGTCCCCAAAGAATTCCAAACAGTCCATATTATTTATAGGACCATATCGTGTGTTAAAGCCTTTTTTTCAGAATAGTATAATGATCAACTAAGCGGCTTTTTATGCACCGTACCATAGAGTTTATTTTTAATTAATCTGCAATGGGGCTTTTTTTTCTGCTAACTGACACAATATGCTTTTTCCAACCTAAAGCTCGAGCCACTGCCAAAAAAGGGATCTGGTCAATCACTGTACTGCGACGAACTGGTCCATTGTGACTGAGCCTCGGCCTCTTCCAAACCACTCGGTTGACTCCTGACTTCTTGATCACACTGTCAGCAGATAAAAAAGAGAGGCTTGCATTTATTTACAGACAAAACAGCTGCCTGTCTCACTGACTGTGAAAAGGTAGCAACACACAGATAGAGACAACCACTCACAGTAACATTCCCTCCTAGGGGGAATTTAGAGTGTCCAATTAACCTAAAATGCATGGATTTTTGGATAGTGGGAGGAAGCCAGAGGACACGGAGAGAACCCACGCAGACCATTGCAGGTCCCGGTACCCCAGGGACTTCCACTGGAACCCCTCTTGCTGTGAGGCAACAGTGCTAACCAACCAACAAACCAGTGATCTGATTTATAAAAGCATTTTTAAATGCCTTTTAAGTAGGAACATGGAGTATTTGATTCTCTTTACATGCAATGGCATAAAGTGCTCTGCACATTAACTCGCTGTATATGAATGCAACTTGTGTCCCATAAATGGGGGAAAAGATTTATCTTAAAATGGCTAAATGTGTCATGGACAATTATTCAATTAAAAGAATTCCGCAATTGCATTTTTACACTGTCACATGTTCAATCGCAGGCACCCTGTTTGCTAATGACTGTCTCACACAGTCTAAGATGATGTCAACACCAAAACATACAATGTTATCATACAACCATTTAAGTGTTCGGTTTCTGTTAGCCTAGTCAAGAGCTCATCAAAAGAATATCCTATCACAAAGCACACAAAAGACCACATGAAGAACCATATCACCCTAAAAAGATAACATTTCGATTTAATTTTGTGAAAATTAGATGTTTGTTGGTTACAAGCACTTTTTGTCCCAGTAAAGAAATAACACAATGAAGCTGAAGACTGTATCTTCTTCGAAATATCCTAAACTTAACCAAAAATGCGTTTTTAATCATAGCTCAATAGTAACATTTGAGTGTGCTGTGGGTAAAACTTACCTCCCACCCAGGCCTTCAATACGCTCTCTCTCTCTGGGTAATTCCGGCTTGTGGTCTTGTGTCACTTCTACAGCTCTAATGTACGGGACTGCAGGGTCATCCTGGACCCCAAGAACAACAGCAGAGTCTCCAACGTGGGCCACATACATACGGTTTCCTCTGAGGACAACTACACTGGCAGTAGTGCCTGACGTACTAGGAAGGCCCGTAAGCGTTTTTGGCCATTCAGCTGAGGAGACAGGGGGATTTTTATTTTATTTTAAAAAGGACATGTTTACTAATCAAGTGCCATTTATGATAAGCTCAAAGTAAATTTCTTGGACACACATTACTTGCATTAAATAGAGAATGATAGTGATAAATTAAACAGTCCATAGACTTTACAGCCTCTAAACAAATCAATTTTGCCTGATGAACTCTTTTACTTCAATGACATTATCTGTCCTAAAGATTTTCTGTTAGATACAAGCTGAATCAGACATGCGCAGTACGCATGCTATGTGAGCATCAGCTAAAAACAGCTGACATGCCCCGACAAGTTCGGTCCGTCACCTAAACCGGCGCCGGTATCTCCACAGAGCTTTCAATGTCAAAATGTAAACATGATTAGTTTATTAATGAGAATACAAGGAAACGTGTCGGCATAATATTTTGTAGGTATGTAAGGCACAAGCATCTTAAACGGTAAAAGTAGGTCGCTGTGAATCGCCGGCGCCGGGCTTTTTGTTCGGACCGAGTCTGGTGGCTATTGCTAATTTTATAGACAATGTAACGTTTTGAAGACTAGAAATAAGAAAACTTAAATATATGGTCTGTATTCAAGCCATGAGGTAAACACACTATTAAAATTACAGCGGTACCGACACGTAGCTTCAGATATCGGAAGCTGCTTTGAGGCCAACTATACTGGAGCGATAGAATATTCTAGTAAGCCTGCTAACAGAGCACTACGGTTCACTGATGGGTAGAAATATAAATGGCGTAGGCCGCTGATTGGTTTTCAAGTCTATCGTTTTCTGGGAAGATTAAACTATACAAACTGGGGATTTGGAATCACATATGAAACTGAATGAATGCCGGTTGGAAATCAGAACTTCGTATGATGTTGACCGATGTTGACCGAACTTACGTAGCTTTTTCCACATAGCATGGTGGCAGGCAACGAATCCTTTGCGTATCGCCGAGCACACTTCTCGGTCACAGTCGGACCAAAATCCACGCTGCTTCTTCATGAATTCCCACAAATAGTCTCGGGCAAACTGCGCAGCCTCACGACCCCCGTGGCCGTCAAAGACCGCGAAGAAAGCGACGGAACGGCGGGAACGACTTGTGGTACTCGGTTGAAGCCGAGGTGGGCTCTGACTTCCAGACGACGATAAAGTCTCGACATATTTACTTTGGCCTTCTGTTTGGTCTAACTCGCATGATTCGTTTTCAACACATGGGGTTTCCGCTGTCTCACTAATATTGTCTGAATGCGAATTACCAGCCGGAGAGCTGCATTTACAATCGCTCCCACTACCATCGTCTCGTTCACCCGGCGTAGGCTCATCTTCTCCCGGCTCGGGCTCCACTATGACCTCGGTGACATCTTCCATGTATTTCCTCCCTCCCTGATCGGTAAAGACGCTCACTCGCATGAGTAGTGCTTTCTCCATTGCTACAGATATAAAAGGTTCTTTGTTTTTCCGGAACTATTTGCATGCAAATTCGGGAGGATAAAGTTTAATGCAGAGCTACGTCCCGTCTTTGTTTATGTTCAAACGTAGTAAGCATGCTCAAAGCTTACGTGCTGACGTCAGAGACGTCAGCACGTCGTGACGCCGACGGAAATGCTGCCCTGTAGAGTTTAGTCCAAAGTCCAAGCCCATGAGCGCCTATTGGATGAACTACAGCAGTATATTCCTAGTTTCAGAAAGAAATAAACTTAGCGTGACGAAATAAACAATAACTGCATTAATGACAATTGATAGAGTAAATCTATCTATCTATCTATCTATCTATCTATCTATCTATCTATCTATCTATC